TGGCTACAGAGACTGGCGAAACTTTAGGAAGGACAACCTTCAGAACACAGCACAGGATTATATTATTACCTATGTTGAGTGGTTGCAGGCCATCCTGCCCCTGCTTATTTTGATGTAAGGGGCAGGGTGAGGGTGAGGTTTGATCAAACACTATGCATTTCATGTGCTGTACAATGTAGCCCTCCATCTATAAGAAAATAAAGCAAAGAATGCAAAGAAGCAAAGCTGCAAAGTTGGCCCTAAAAAGGCTGTTCCAGAAATGTAGCATTTCATTTAACAGTTCCTGAAATTGTGTAGCCATTTGGCAAACCATACTGGATAGTAGGGGCCTGCAAAAAAAGACAGTAAAAAGTAAAAAGTAGGGGAGTGAATTTTTCCACTGCCAAATAATAATACTGTAGTAGCAATCATCATCGTTGTTGTTGTCGTCCTCCTCCTCCTCATCATCATCCTGGATGGTCCCCATCTTAGATGCCAAACAGGATCTGTGAGGTGTCTTTTTAAAACAGTTGATATTTCTGTTGAGAAGCCAAAAGGGCGGCTTTGGAAAGATGTTGTTATGAGAAAAATATTTCTTTTTTGGAAAGGAGAATAAAGAGACGCTTTGTATAAAGGACCAAACTCTGTCACTGAGTGCTGAACCAGGGCTGGTGCTCCTTAGAGTTTGGATGGCATTGGAGGGCAAAAAAAGTCTTGTTTATTTACTTTTTAAAACCTTATTATTCTTATTCTTATTGCACCTTCCTCTCTGCTTGCAGAGTAGTTGAGCAGCCCTGGAGAGGTGTTTTCTCTCTCTTGCTGAAACGATTCAGAGGTTGCTTTGGGGGCGGGCAAGCGGGCATGTTGACTTAGGAAGTTTGCACGGCGGCCGCCGAGCCGGGCAACGGCCCCTCTGCCAGGCAGCTTCTTTGGCTGCTTTCCAGGCAGGATTTTGTCCCGGCTCTTCCAACCCATCCTTGGTTGTCTCCCATCAACGTCCGACGGCAGACAGTCCCTGTTTTGCTTCCCAAATCTGATGAGCTCCTTGTGTTTCAACCACAGGAAGCAACTTTTCTGACTTGTTCTGGCCTTTTAAAATCTCTGGCCGGTTGCTCTTAATCCCATTTATAGTTTCTGTTCTTCTGTTGTTGGTCTTCTCCTTTGCTATACTTCTGTTTTCCCATATGCAAGTCTACGAAAGAAGGGTTTTTGGCCATACTAGGACGAAGTGGTGGGCACAGCAAACATTTCAAACAAATTAAGAATGGTTCTGGGAAAGGACAATTGCTCAGAGTGTATTTTCCACACGGTGCCTTTATAGGGATCTGATCCTGTGTTCCCTGCAATGCCTCCATTCACAAGCATCCTGGGATTTTTAGTCTCTGGAGGTAGGGTGCTCTGCTACAGAACTCCAGCGCGTTCCCTCGAATGGCGTCAAGAGAGTTCTAAGTGTTTCATTGAATTGCAAGCCCTGGGGTTCCAAGGCCAGGCTGGCTGGGGGATTCTGGGGCTTGTAGTCCAAGGAAAATACCGTTTCCAAGCTCTGGGTAGAGCCAGGACATGGAGATGCATTAAGGGTGGGTCAACTCTGCCGAACACACAGTCATTCTTCATTCCAAACAAACACCATTGGCATACATGGTTGAATCTACCCAGTGGGGCATTTTCCATGCGTTTGCTGTCACTGTCCCACAGAAGTTACATATTCTGCCAAGCGCTCGACTCCTTTCTGCCCAGAAATCTCCTAACGGATGAGGAGTCTCTTCACGTCCCCATCTGTTGACAGCAACCTCCACCACAAAAGAGGACAAACAGGCCTTGTGCCACATGTGTGTCTGGCATGTGTGGGAAAGTGGGGCAACTGTTTCCCAGCCCAGGGAGGGGAGGGAAGGGGGAATAACTCCGCTTAAGACCCCTACAGTTGCCCACCCCCTCTGCCGGCTGCCCAGACCCTATGCCTGCTTTTTCTGTCAACCCCTCCTTGTCTTTCGTTTCAGGCAGAATGGGAAAGAGCCGATCGAAAACTGAATCCCACCCATGCTTAGGGCCTCCCAGTGTCCTTGGACTTCAGCTCCCATTTGCCCCAGCCAATCTAGCCAACAGTGTGTGTGGGGGGCAATGGACGTTGTGGTTCAATGCCGCCTGGCGAGCCATAAAATAGGTCACCCTAAAATAGGTCTTGAATCATAAAATCGGTCACAGCGCTGGCAGTGTTTGCCCCTGGACTTGAGAAAGGGCCCTGGGATTCGGCCGCTGGGGGACATGGGGACTTATAGCCCATCCGGCAATTTCCCCAGATGATGCTTCCTAAGCCTTTGTTAGCTGGGTATCCAATTGTGCCAGAATTGCAGCCGGTACTGTGAGAAGGTCCCCTTTCTTGTGCTAATAGACGATGGTGGGGTCTCCACGGATCCACTCAGGGCTCAGGGCTGAGGTGGCGATCCATGCAACCGGGATGGATCCCTCTGCAGCCAGCCAGCCTATAGCCCTGTCCGTCCAACTGTCTGTCCGTCCATCCGTCCGTCAGTCATCTCCAGGTCATAGCCTGGGTGAAGTCACGGAATGCCTGTGGGGGCCTCCTCCTCCTCCTCTTCCTCCTCCTCCTCTTCCTCCTCCTCCTCCTCCTCTCAAGAGCTTTGGTCCAGAACTTCTGAGCAACCCCTCTGATCTCTTGGTGTGGATCGTGAAAGGGGTGTTGCAATTGCGCCCCTTCATTCTCTTCTGATTCATCCCCTGGCATCGTGTTCTTCAGTCGGGTCGGATCCCTCCCTCCCGGCCACCTTTTTTCCTGCCTGTGATTCATCTCTCTTTTTACAAACAAGCATCCGATTGTTCCAAGACATTCCATGGAAGTTACTCCAGTCCACATGCTTTGTACTTCACTTGTCGAATAAATTATTCAGTACCGTCCTGGAAGCACAGCCAAGGAATTACTGGCAGAAAAGAAAAGGAAAGGAAAGAAATGATGTTCTTCCCTCTTTGTGTCCAGCATGACATTCTTCGTGTTGTTATTAAATAATCACTGTTATTTATTAAGTGTATATTAAGTTGCAGTGAATGCATCTAAAACTATATAATTCAAATAAAAACCACAATGCAGTTAAATTAATTGTATTTAAAATTACATCACGCCATTACAAAACAAACTGAAACAAAATTATAGACACATTCAAAATAGAAAAACAGATGAAAACAGAATTAAAACCAGACCAGTTTAATGCCCTGTGACTCTCAGAACACGCCCCCCCCTCCCAGCTGGTACAATTGTGGGTGATGCTGGCAGGGGGGATTCTGGGTCTTGTATTTCTTTCGGTTTCTTCTGTGTTGGGTGCTGATGGAAGGCATGCCCCAATCTTTAGTAGGAAAGATGCAACCATTTTTAAAAAACAAAACCCTTTTCAGTAACGAACAGGGGCCTGCCTGCCTGCCTGCCTTGTGAGGCCCCCCAGAGTCTCCTGCTTGAGGAGACTTCTTCACTCTGCCTGATGGCAGGGCCGGTCCTTTCCCTGTTGCCAAAGGCAGCCTGTGCCTCGCTGGTTCTATGGGAATAACTGCCCCTCCCCCAGCCACGCTTATTTTAATTAGCTCTCTTAAGTGCTGAGAAATGACAGCACCTTTCGAAAGCCCAGACGGGCGCAGATGGGGGAACGGAGCGCGCCGTCCCTCCCTCCCGCTAGGCTCCAAATGTCAGCTCTGAGGAGGATGCTTCTCTCCCAGTGCAATCTTGGCTGCCTCTCTTTTTTTTGGGGGGGGGGAGAGAAAGGAAGGAAGACC